TCATAGTCAACGAAAGAAATGCTTACACTTGAATAAATATTTTATATAACTTCGAAAAACAAATTTTTCGATTGTCTCATACATTTGATATGACTGATTTTATGAGTTTATCAACTTCCAGTGACTGCAATGTAACAGTAGTATTGAATCATATCTGGAATCTTTGAAGTCAAAAGTTGGAGTGATATATCAAAACGGATAAACGTACGTCAACAGTAACGAAATCGTAAAATATCTTAGCTGTCATACTTTTTTTTGATTTGGAATGTTTATGCAATAATGTGCAAACAGTTAAGTGATGAAAATGATAATTTTCTTCTTTCTAATGGGACAACCTATATAGTTTGAATTTTCAATAATTCAATGAGAGGTATATTCAAAAATACTAGTGACTATGTGTTTTACAATTAGAAAATATTATGACATTGGCAAAAATTATCACACCAGCGTGATACACTAGACGAAGTTTATTTGAATTGAAGGGGTTATATTTTATGTATTTGTAATATGGTATGTTGAACATTATATTCAGAAAAAATACCTTGATCATGAGATGAACAATTAATAGAAAAGAATGAAAATGTGAATTGTATGATGGAAAATAGATTCAATGATATTGTAAACCACAATTAATTCAAATGTCATATTCTCATTTGGTATATCAATATTTGAACATTCTAAATACATTCCCTTTTATTTTATTTCATAAAAATAGTGTCTCTTACATTGATAACCTATATGAATAACTACAAGAAATCATTCATGAATTTTTGCAATATTTCTTTCACAAAAAAGTCCTGTTTTTTCGGTGAGAACAATTTTCCTTTTTTCTCGAAATGTTTCAATTTTGTTTTTTTGAATATGTGAATATAAATTTTCCTAGTGCTCGATATATACAACTGGGGCGAATCCATCAACCGCTATTAGTTTAACAACTCCAGGTACATGGTAAAAAAAATTTGTTAGATTTGAATCTTCTGACTTTGATATCTGTAGGTAAGATTAGGTTCAAAGTGAGTGGGTCCATTCGACCCTCCACCGCAACCCGCACGGGGTTATTGTGTTTCTTAACGAAGCCGATTAGTTTGTATGGTGAGTGGTCTTTCAGGTCAGAGCACAAAGCAAGCAGGCACAAATTATATGCTCTGCTGTTTCATCATTTTTCAGACAGAGGCGACACACACTGTCTTCCGACAGTCCAAGTTTCTGCATATGGTGATTCAAATGACATTGACCTGTAAGAAGGCCTGTTAGACATCGTAGTTCATTCCTACTGTAGTCCAACAACTGTTTGGTATCAAGCTTCTAAGGGTGAATAAACGCCTTGGAGTGAGCCAATCTTGGAAGATTTTGCCATTAGTCCATATATATATCTTCTTGCCATCCAGGTGTTCAATTTTTGTTTGGCAAAGCCTGAAGCGATGCCAATGATAGGTTCTGGTCCGATGAAGCTGCTTGTAGCACCCTCCTTTGCAAGGGAATCAACAGTCTCAATGCCTTCCAGGCCAGTATGACCAGGAATCCACATCAGAGACAATATGATAAATCTTCCTATCGAGGAGAGTCGTTTTTGGCAACTTGCTACCAATTTGGACGTTGCTTGGTAGGAGCCAAGAGGTTCCAACGCCGCTTGACTATCCAAGAATATTTTAATTGACTTGTGTACGAGGTTGGATTCTTCCAATCTTTCCGCACGTGATTCAATAGCGTACATTCCCGCTTGAAATACAGTCGCATAAGTTCCTACGCAGGTTGATATCTCTGTCCTGGGTCTGCGACTGAAAACACCTGCACCAGAACCGGAAGGTATTTTCGATCTATCTGTGAACCAACAACTATCTGCTCTTAATATTTTCTCCTCCCAGAGGATCTAGTCCTCTCTACTAAGAAACAGTACTTCATAAGGCAGTTCGTAGTTGACAGTTGGAGACATAAAGTCAGAGGTTATTTCCAGAATGTTGAGACTTCCAGTGTTTAACCAACAGTCTGTTGCACTTGATATCTGTAAGTCTCTGACTATTTCTCTAACCTCAGAAAACGGTTTTCGTCAATCAGTTTCAGCACTGTTTTCGTATATGGAATGAATATTACTGGAGTTCTATCCCAAAACCAAACCGTTGTTTTCAACACCCAAACACGTGTTTCAATCACCAAGTGATCATTTTCAAGAGGAAGTTTGAACACAAGTCAAGGTGTTTAAATTAATGAATTCTTCTTTAATGAAATTCATCTCGAATGAACCCAGTTGTCTTGCAAATCACACTACAAACTGTTATGTTAGGTTAGGTCTGAAGTGAGTGGGTCTATTCGACCCTCCACCACAACCCGCAAGGGTTTATTGTGGCTCACACCTATTCACACTCGGCCAAATAAACCCAACTTCTTAACGAAGCCGATTAGTTTGTATGGTGAGTGGTCTTTCAGGTCAGATGGTAAGAGTTTGGCTCTGCCGAACTCTAAAGACCTGATTCGGTCCCCAGCGGGGCAACAACAAACTGTAAACAAATGGCACAATTTTTTATTTGTCACAACTACCTTCAATTATTACTGTTTCATAAAACGTATAACTGAAGATATATTATGGCCCAATATTAGAAAATGTATAATAGGGTGGAAGACATCTGAGTGTAGTATTTTTCATTAATTTTGTTGTAACTACAGAATATTGCACTGATATTGCTTCAATTTTGTGAAATTGATTTGAAAAACACAAATAATCTAAAAACTGTAACTGCAGTTGTATTTTGTCAATTGTTGAATAAATATTCTTACCTACTTACATTCACTCAACCCTTGACAAAATTCAAATTTATTCGAAAAACTTTCATTTCAAAAAGAATAAATCACAATAAATATAAGTATATATAATTTAATACGCTTAGGAACGGAATCACTGTACCAAACTTCGATCTGGAAAGTATATGAATAATCCATAGATCGAAATCACCCTGTACTCGACCCCACAATTCTGCCGTATCAGGAATCCTAGATCTCAAGTAAATGGGTTCCTTTCAGGAAGCGATCCATCCACTTCAGGCATCTAGATCTGAAGCAGGTTCTGATGTTGTACTTGGAACCAATTCTTCTTATCCTCTCCGATAATCCTCTGATGTAGGAAAGTACAAGCACTAATTATAACGGCTTCTCTTCCTTGCGAGGCTCCTGCTGTCTTCTAGCCAAAGTCTTTTTACCATCGCTTTGGAATAGCCATTCCGTTGAAGATCATTTTTGATGATGTCTAGTTCCTTCTCGAGAGCTTCCCTCGTATAACAGAGCCCAAAAGCACGGTCTAATAGAGTCTTCATGATTCCTCTTTTAGTCGATTGATGGTGGTTGGATTCGTGGTTCAGATACTGTCGGTCCTCTTCACCAAAACGTCTAAGAATGGCAATTCGTTGTGGATTTCCTTCTACATTGTGAAATTGATGGAACGTCTCACGCTGTTGATGTGTTTCAGGAAGGCGTCTAGTTCAGTATTCCCATGGTTCCATAATATGAAGGTGTCGTTAACACATCTCAACCAGACTCGAGGTTTCTTGTGGGCTTCTTTTATGGCCAGAGTTTCAAACCACTCCATATATATGTTGGCTATGACTGGTTGGCTATTTATTCAATTGTTTTATTTTTACCTGCATTTTATTTCACTATTATTTCATTTCAGGTTTAGTTTGGTTAATATAATTGTTATTTTCAGCTAATCAATTTCAATTCTTCTTTTTTAGTTGTTTCAGGGATTTCAAATCATTTTATATAGTAGACAATGGAAGTCTGATGTAGTGAAATTCATCATGAAACATTGTCAATCACCTTGAAACAAACATGTACTCTTTTGGTTGAATGTGAGTCTTCTAAGTCTGAATGTAGGAAAAACTAAGTTCATTGCATTTACCACAACAAAAAAGACCAACCTTACATAACACTCTCACTGTTCATAAGTATATATGCTGAACCCCAACGCAGTGTTCATGTCCAGCAATCAAACAATTTGACAACAAAATTTGACGTCATGATTCGGGTGATGACGGTGAAAACGAGTGTGGATATAAACAATGGAAACGTCGTGAAGTAACTTGACACGTATACTTTCAATTTTTAATTTTCATTTTTTGTTCAAAAAATTTTAATTTTTATTTCTTGTTAATAGTTTAATTTTTAATTGTTGCTTGTATTTTATTTCATTGTAATTTCAGTTTCTTTTTGCTTAATNGCGAAAATAACAGAAGAGAAAACAATGGACACGACGGAATCGGAAAAGGGAGCCACTGAAGAAATGGTGGCATACGAAATTCAGGAAACAGAACCGATATGATGAAAGCAAGCGTCTATATAGGACGAATGGTTTCATCTGTAGATGGTTGCTAGATTGGTATTGCTCTAGAGGAACACATTTTGAGTGGTATTTGAATATATGAACAATACTCAACACATATTTATAAACGACAGGATTTCATTGTTGAAATCCTTCGTGGTTTGACGAGAAACCGCAGAGTCGGCATCTGAATCATCTGACTTGCTTGACACAGCTAGATGCATTAACTTAGCGTATTCTTTTCGAATTCAATGAAACTGCTACTATTGAAATTGCTGTTACAGAAGAATATTTCGATTTCAATAACCTTGAAAATCTCTTAAAATGAAATGGAGTGAATATCACAGATGATCAACTATAAAAATGAAACGAATAAGATGATAAAATGTGAATATGATGATAAAATGAGAAAAGAACTGATTCTTGACAGGCCGATTTGTTCTGACAAAAGTCGATCTCCATTCTTCAAGAGTTGGTATAGTCTGCGTAAAAACAACTTGCTTGTATTTTTCCTTTAGCTATGTTGAATTCTCCTGTAATGTACTTAGTGACATTGATTTTCTCCGCGAAAAGAAAATTTCCAAACAACAATGTCTTCTAAAAATACTTTTTAAACAGATCTTTCTATAGGGTAGAAATTATTTCGAGTATGAATACCTAAAACTGAATTTCTATTATTAGGTTCGCTCACCCTAGAATGATTTCCATCGACGAAAAACTCCGCTTCGGTCCTACCCACGCCGGAGGTGATAGGGGGTGCGTTGAACTCGTCGTAGACGCCACCTTCGCCTTGGCTTTGTTCCTCCAAAATATCCGAACGACCTGTCTCGACGAACGCTTTCACGCCGGCCGAAGACTTTTGGCCCAGCCGGAACAGGGTGAAAGATTTGTCATGGCTACGACCTGGAACAAAATTGAGGTTGTGGGAATGCTTACATGGATGTTCATGTTTTCTGTATTATGATGAATATAATTCAGTGCATTTCTTTAATGTCTCCCCCCTTTTATATTATGAACTGGTCAACTCAAAAAATTGAAATTTGGAATAATGTAATTAATGCATGAATACTTCATTTTGAAGTGAAATTGACAGATGAAACTTTCAAGATGGCGACTGGGCGCATCTGGAAAAAAATTAAATGGAAAGGGGGGTCTCGTACACATCTTTTTGAAGCTCTTGACAAATGCTTCACAAACCTAGAATGTCAATATCTTCAACTACTACAAAATGGTGGAACTTTCAATAGTTGCCTGAATACATTGACATTTAACTACATAATATAAGGTAATAAGCTTGAAGTCAGTTCAGAAGATGCTCGAAATGTTTTTCTTGAACTTCTTGACATATGAACAACCTATCCGATATTTCACGCCGAACATATTCGAACACAGTAACGTCAATATCTCATTATTATTCATTATTATCTGCCGTATATCCAATATTGAAGCAGGTTCAGTTTCGTACATCTTTTGCTCCAAATAGCCCCAAAAAAAAGCCCGAAGGTGTCAAATCTGGCGAGCGGGCTGGCTGTAGGACCTCGACGGCCAATCCAACGACCGGGAAAAGTAGTATCCAAATAGTTTCTTACTTGTCTGGAGTAATGTGGTGGTGCTCCATATTGTTGGAATACATTATCCATATCAAATCCATTAGGATTCGCTTCAACGATTTCAGTGATGAGAGGGTCAACAGTAGTTACCAACATATTCAAATACAGTTCCCCTGTTAAATTTTGATCAATTAATAGGGGTCCTAGAATATGGTTTCCCAATATTTCTGTCCAAACGTTAATTTTTTCTGGATATTGTGTATGTGTTTCCCGGAAACGTGAGGATTGGTGTCACACCAATAACGGCAATTTTGTCTGTGAACATTGCCGTTAGAAAAAAAGTACATTCGTCACTAAAACAAATATTGTGGAGATGAGTAAGATGCCCTGCAATGGTTTCCGTCATGATTTCGCGGAATTCTGTTCTTCGATCAGGGTCATCTTCAGTTAATTGGTGTACCATTTTAATTTTGTGGATGATACCTATTCCTCTTCAAAGTCTCCACACAAACATTCGCGACGGAATAAGTTCAGGACTGCTCAGGATTTACTGCCATCTCACCAATTATTCGCCCTTGCTGTATTTTCTACAGTCAGGACGATTCGGAAAACGTTCGTGAAAGTTACGCGTCGCACCGTAAATAAAAATCGCTCCAATAATGTTTCCTTCCAATCTACAAGAATTGACCATTTTAAAGATTGTTGACGTGATACCTTTCTACTAGTGAAACCGAAAACTAAATGAGAATATTCTAAATGAAAAATGATGTTCATTGTCATACTGACATTTTTTGTCGATTTTATAAAAAAACCTTATCGGGTTGTTGGAATTGCCATATGCCAGATATTCTAAAAATATCGTTATTAGTGTGTTTGTCTTCAGGAAATTAAATAATGTTCCGCTATTTTGTAGTAGGTGAAGATATTGACTTCATATTCTAGGGTTGTGAAGAATTAGTCAGAATCCTCAAAATGATGAGTCACAAGACCCCCCTTTCCATGTAATTTTTTTTTCCTAGATGACGCCCAATCGCTATCTTGAAAGTTTCATCTGTTAATTTCACTTCAAAATAAAGTATTCACGCATTGATTTCCTTATTCCAAATTTCAATTTTTTGAGTTGACCCGTTCAAAAAATAAAAAGGGGGGACATCAAAGAAATGCACTGTATATACGACGGTGATCTGAAAAGTTTCCGACCTAATAGAGATACAAGACATTTTTTCATTTTTTTTTCTTTTGAAACTAATTGATTCAGTTTATTGAATGATTTTCTCTTCAAAGGGTTTTACAAAAACCACGATACGTGTTTCCTATACAATAGCTTCCTCAAGCGTAAACTTTCGCTATACAATAGCTTCCACAAGTGTAAACTTACGATTATGGAAGCTATTTTACAGCGAAACACGTGTCGCGGTTTTTGTAAAACCCTCTAAAGTGAAAATCATACAATAAACTGTAATAATTAGTTTTAATATGGATTTTCATCAAGTATCGGCCAGTTCTATTCAATTATTCTCATTTCAACTCTACACACTTCTCACGGCGATGCTCCCATCTCTGTAATCTATCCAAATAGTACTCGGTATTTTTCTCTGCAAAATATATGTTCACGAATGTCATTGCCTCTTCATTTGACGAAAATATCTGTCCTCCGAGCACAATTTTAAGATGAGGAAACAAAAAGAAGTCACTTGGAGCTAGATCTGGTGAGTAAGGCGGATGGTCAGGCAGTTCAAACCGTAATTCGTGAATTTTCGCCATGGCAACCGCTGAGGTTTGAGACGGTGCGTTGTCTTGGTGAAACATGATATAATTTTTCTGCAAATGTAGTCGTTTTTCGCAAGTTCTGCCTTCAGCTCGTCAAATAATGATGGCGTAGTATGCCCCTGTAATGGTTATTCCTTTTTGACGATGATCGATTGATATAATTCCATGGCTATCCCACTTTCTCAGCCGACCAAACAATTTTTGATTTTTTCACAGTACACTGGACTGTATTTATGTTTCGAGCGTATAATGGTGTATCAGATCACCCTCGTCTATTGAACAGAAGTTAACTTTGTTGAAGATATCAGAGTCTTCCATTCTTTGGGGACTTTCATCTACGATCCGAAAAAATAAAAAAATTAAGGTAGAACTTTATACATTTGTCAGGCAACAAGAAACTCCGGAACACAAATGTGAAGAATGTTTCGAGGAGCGATACATACATATAAGAGAATGAATATTTCAAAATTAAATCTCGAAACATTAATCTTTCCCAACATATGTACACAGTTGGTTCTGATCTGCGAGGGACAGTTAATAATATCCGACATATATAGCTATTTATTCATTCATTTGTTTTCCAAACGAGTTCAATACCTTCATTACACGAGAAAAACTAACCTGAACTCACGCTAAAAGTTTATCGCAGTTACAAAATATTGTTTGTGATTTTCAAAAATGTGGTAGTGTATAAGCAAAAATTAGTTGTAGGTGGGAGTATTATTTCAAAGAACTGATTGAATCGAGTTGATCGAGCTGAAACTCGCACCCTCAGAAAGGCAAATATAATGATTTCTCTATAACTCAAAACACATGAAGACTTGTGCAAGCTGTCGCCTATTTCTCGAACTTATAAAGTAAAATTCATCTCAATTCTGATTCTGAACTTTTTCTAATAAGTGAGAATAAATAACTGTCAAGAAATGAAATGCCCAACTACGTAGCAATATTTATGTTTGGTTAGTATCAGAATGCTATATAAGAGTCTACCAGTAATCCAATCTCGAAAATATTTAGAATTTCTGAGTACGAAGCCAAGATTCTCTAGAGTTTGTGTACCAACTCGTTTGATGTGTGCTTTGAATGAAAGCTCATAATTGTACTGGATACCAAGATCTTTAATTTTGGCAACCCTCCATAGTTAACAATTATTGATGGAATAGTCATTCTCTAGAAATTCTCCTTCCTTGTGCATGATAATATGACAAATTTTGATATCTTGAGAGGCAAATCATTCACGAAAGACTATTGGTATACTGAATCAATATCACTTTGAAAGAAGGAGCAGTCATTCTTATCTTCGATTCTTTTGAAGAATGTCACATCACCATTGAACAATAAACAACGAGAGTACTTAAGGCATTGTGGCGGATCATTAATAACAATAAAAAAAATGAGGGCCCCAAATTAGATCCTTCAGGAGCTCCTGAATCGACATGAAATTGTCCAGAAATACTTCTTCTGCACCTGAATATATATGGTATATTTTGTGTAAGGGATACAAATAATTTCAGGCTTTGAAAATCAATCTCATAACCATCAATTGTTCCTAACAATATGTCATGATTGACTTTTTCGAATGCTTTCTAAAAATATCAGAAGTTTTCCAGACTTGTGTATGGGTGTAATCACTGACTTCTTCCACAATTGAGGTGAAAATGGTGATTTTATGGACAAACTGAGTATAAAGAGAAGTGACTTTTGAAACGATTCTGCACAATCCTTTAAGATATTGAGTCGGATTCTCTATCGATAGCTGCTGACCTCTTCGGTTCCAAATTTTGATTGGAAGTAGTATCGAAAAACTTCCGATACGAATAATATGGTTTTGCACGTTATATATAGAAAGTCATATCTTCTCCATACAAACGTAATCGGGAGCACTGAATGGCAAAATGATGTTATTATCAATATTCGACAATGTAACTTGGTTCTGTAATTCTCAGACGTGTGTTCTTGGTGCGACCATTTAGTGCAACCTGTATTTCCTCGTCTTCTTTTCTAGTCCTACTAATCATTATCATATGGCTTGTTTTCATCTCGTATTTACTCTATGTGCATTTATGTAAACGGTCTTTCATTGAGCGCTTCCTATCTTCGAATTTGAATAAAACAAAGTATATGTGAGATATCATACATCTTTTATTTGTTTGAACGACCTATTGATGCCATTCGGTGTGGAATATAATATCGTTCAACGATCCACCACGGCTGCTTTAGGTGGAGCACTTCCGAAACGTCCAATTTTTCATGACCTGCGCATGAATCAGGCTGAATTTTCCCAATTGCATAGGTTAAGTTGGCTTTGAGGACCACTGTGGTTTGCGGCTTATTCGCATACACCTGTGACTTGAGAAAAACCCACAAGAAAAAGTCTAACGGGGACGAATGGCACGATCTCGGTGGCCAGTTCACATCACTTCCACGTGCAGAATATTCAATACATCGTTGGTGTCCAGATCATCCAATTCAGTCTACAAGAAGTTGGTTCTCATCGACCTATAGTGCTAGCCGTTGACAGTCATGGCCTGGTCAACGTCGTTCTCGAAGAAATATGGACCAAGGATGCCGCCAGTCCAAAATCCACACCAAACAGTGACATTTTCGGGATGCTTTAGACGCTCTTGGATCTC